ACGAAGCAGCCGGTGGGTGGGGAGGCGTTGGCGCCGCCGATGCGGACGCCGGAGCTGCGCGTGCGGGCACTGACCGGCGTGCCCTGGGGCTCCAGCTTGACGGGGCGGAGGTAGGGCGAGCCGCCGGACGACGAGGAGGACCCCCCGGTCTCCATGCGCCTCGGGGTCCAGGAGCTTCCCCGGCGGCGTGAGAAGGACGGGGGATCGGGGTACTCGAGGCGCAGCGTGTTGCCGCCCTCGATGTACTCGAGGACGGCCTCCAACGTGCGCCCGGGCACGCCCCACCACCGGCGCCGGCCGTTGGAGTTGAGCCTGCCGGAGGGCTCGACGCCGTTGGTGGCCTCGAGCTGCTCGGCGTGACGGCGGCGGAAGTAGGGCTCCCAGAGCGGGCTGTCGGGGACGTACCGTGGCCCCTCCCTCGCCGCCCGCGGTAGGGACGCGCAGATGCGTGCGATCTCCGCACGTCGCGCCGCCCCGGTGGGTGGTGGTGGCACCAGCACGCCGCCGGCGCTGATCCTCCACGCGCCGGGCACCCGCATGTCCGGCGGGACCGAGTACCCGGCCTCGTAAAGGAGGCGAGCCTCGTCTTCGTGGAGATGGCGGCGGCCAAAGTCGTTCGCCGCCGCGCCGTCACCAGGGAAGCGCTCGGCCATGGGTGCAGACGGCGAGAGAGAGGAGAGGGAGAAACGACGGCGAGAGAGAGGAGAGGGAGGAACGACAGCGGCGAGAGAGTGTGGTCGCCGAGCACGCTGGTACACGTCTTATATAGGCCGAGACGCCGCCCGTACGCGTGGCCGCCGTGTGTACACGTGGCGGGCGAGGGAGGGCGAGGGACGCGCGTCGTCCGGCCTTCACTGCGCCGCCCGTGAGGCATCAATGGCGCAGGCTGACCAGCGCGGCAGCGCGGCAAGGCGGCAGCTTTGGCATTGATTCGCCGCGGGAAACGAGGCGATGAGGACGACGAAGGGGCGAGAAGAGAGCCGTGTCGCTGACACGGCGGGCTCGCGGCTTTTTTGCGCCAAAAAAGTTCCCCCAGCGCTCCCGGACGCCCCCAGCGCGCCGGGTTCGGCCTGGGTCCGCCGGCGCTGTTTTCGGCCCAGGCCGGCAAAAATCGGGCTCCTGGGGGCGTGACTGGGCCGATTTTTCGGCGCCGGCGCAGGAAAAACGCCTAGGGAGGCCTTCTTGGGGGCGCGGCTGGAGATGCCCTAATAGGATGCTTGTCCCGTCTATGATAATATTTGGCAAAGTTTGGAGATATCAAAAGTTTCTATTATTTGAAAATTCGTAGTGAGTGGGATCATCTTTGGTATTCAACCAATCAAGTGTGAAGGCGACAAGGAAGTTCCGGGGGAAGTCCAGAAGCCCTACGTATTACATCTACGTACTACCCTAGCTACTCTTCGTCGTCGGAAATGTCCACGACGACAGTGCCTGGCACCGGCCGGGCGGGCGGGTAGGAGGGCTCTGGCTCATCCTCCTCCTGCTCGACCTCATCCATGTAAGCGAACATCTCCGCCTCGTCCGCCTCCTCTTGCACCTCCATCTCTTGCCGGTGACGGCGTCTTGCCTCCGCATCCAACTCCGACCGGAGAGAATCGAGGATAGCCTGCTGCTCCGCCTGCAGATCCCGTCGCCGGTGTCCCTCACATCCTCCACCTCCAACTCCTCCTCCGTATCCACTGCATCCGGAGGTAACCCCGCAGCGATCCAGGCTTCGCGCCTAGCCCGAATCTACTGAAGGAGCTCGACCCGGCGCTCCAGCATCAGAAATGGATCGCTCCTCACTCGGCGGCGTGGGGGCATGGCTACTAGGCGGACGGGTTGACTGGAATGTGGCGGCAGTGGCGGACAGGAGGAGAAAAATGTGGATGGATGGTAAGATTTCGGTGCCGCCGGTCGACTTAAATAGCCGGGCAATGCACTACGCGGCGCCACCGGTCCGACGGAGGAGACGAGCTTCGGACCGCCAGTGCGTTTCCGGCTCGAAAAAACATGATTGGAGGCTGACCGGGCAGCCCGCCCGAGCATATAAGACGGATTTGAGATGTCCGGCTGTAGAGATGCTGTTAGTTAAATCCTAGCCACACCCATAACATATAGCCCAGCCAGCCGTTGTTGTATTATTTTTACTCGTGCTAGTCCTTATTAAGTGGAACTCGACGGTGATTGGCAGGTAAATCCGGCCAGTGACATCTGCGTATAAAACGGTATAAAATATCCGGTGTGAGGAAACAACGAGTCGTGCGTGCGTGCATGCATGCATGCATGCATGTGTGACTCCCGTCGCGTCAGCTATCCAACCAAAGTGAGGACGCACGAAGCACTTGATCCCCGTCGACGGCGCCGCAAGACATATCCGATCCTAAAGGCAGAAATATGGAATTTCCTGCATGCTTTTAGCCCGTCTCTTTTCTTGGTGCAACCAGACGGAAAACCTTAGCGCCGATGACCCCGAAAAGCAGCGGCGGTGTGCATGAGGATATCCACGAGTTAGCGTCACCGGACGGCGAAAGTGAGCAAGTAAGCTGGGATTGGCACGCAGGAGCTAGCTAGCCATGATAATTAATCAACGACATATGCCATGCTTTGGTAAAGAATCGGCGTCAGATAAAGGAGAGATGATAGGGATCATTCGGAGGAGGCATGTGGATGGCTCACCTGCTCGTGATTCGGCACGGCCGGTTTGACAAACCCATCTGTCTGGTTTCGCACGGCCGTTGCGGTAGGCTCTCCTACCGTCGGAACTAGGATTCGTAGTTGCACCCGACAGCACACGTCCACGTAAAACTCAACTTGGGTTTCTCACCCAACATGGTCGTTTCGTTAGGCGGGACTCGATCGATCGTGTGTAGGGGCTCACACGGCTGGATTACTAGTGATCATACGCGGTGTGGATTCAGTTAACTTTGAGCTGTGGTTAAAATTAAGCCATGCAGTTACATTCAGTACGGTGTGGCGAGTGCCTGTGCCTACGCTTTCCTCGCGTCAGCGCTGCAAGCTGAAGCAAAACTCTTGGTCAAACTTACTGAAGTAGTACAAGGCATCTAAAATAGGAACGTGCATGATGAAACAGCAGTGTCAATCTTTCGTCGCCACCCACACGTGCATGAAACAAAATGCAAAGCACACACGTTCGTTCCACGGACAAAATGACGGAGCACAACACACATACACACACAAGCAAGAAAATATATATATATATCTCTCTCTCTCCCTCCTTTAATTTGGTCCTTTGTGGTGCAGCGAAAGAAAAAATGGCCAGCCACACACGAGTCGGCAAGCCAGGCACTTTCTCTCGCATGCAGCCGCGCCGTTGAGCGGCCGCCACTCACAGTCAGGTGATTACCTAGCTAGTGCGCATATAAATAGGCCCTGAGGCCTCTCCCGCTAGCCGCGGACTGCAGGCTCCAGGACACAGCAGGAGGATCCATCCATCCAGAGGTACGTCTAGTTAGGCGTCAAGCTCTCGTGTCAACACAAAGGCTACCTTTAGTTTCGTCCAGGAGAAGCACAAGCAAGCAAACTCTAGCTTCTTGCGGCCAGTTGAGGTATGTATGGCCGTCGTCGTCAGTTCTTTCTGCCACTGAACTTGCTCTTGCTAAATTCTCTAGCTACCTCGTTCCGTACGTGCTCTCCTTTTACCCCTTGGCCTGGATGGGTAAATGAAGTAGTGCCTTTGCCCCTTTTGATTTCAATACATACATCCATCCTTGTGTTGGTTCTGGGGTTATATCTATGGGGAGCGTACGTAGAATCTTCGTGTTTGATTGATTCCTCTTCCTGCTCTTTTAGTTATTAGTTTGGTCTTCTCACAAGTTCAACCAGTACAAATTACCTCATCAGCATGCATGCTCACTTTGTTGCTGCTTCCATTCAACCGCCCGCTTCCACATGCATGCAGATATATAGAAAGAGTAGAATGCCCGGTTGCTGCTTTGTTTTGTACTCCCTCCGGTCCTTTTTACTCTGCACATTGGATTTGCCGAAAGCCAAACTTTGCTAAGTTTGACCAAATTTATATTAGAAATTATTAGCATCTATAATATGTAATAAATATAATATGAAAATATATTTCAAGATGAATCTAATGATATTGGTGTGGTTATGTGAATGTCTATAATTTTTTGTATAAACTTGGTCAAAGTTGGATAAGATTGACTTCGGTCAAACCTAATATGCAGAGTAAAAAGGACCGGAGGGAGTACTAATATATGAACAACCACCCAAGCATGCATATGTAGTTAAGCAACAGGGTACCCACAGCTTAACGTGCGGTGACATTTCTTCTTCCATGGAGCATATATACCTCAGCTAGGAGCAAAAAAATACAAGGAAGCTAAACCAGTGTTCATGAAAAACTGGAGCATACCTTGTTAGTTAGGAGCAAAATCCATTCCGGTCGCTATAGCTAAACTAGGTACTCCAACTCATCAAGTATAGTCACTTGTTAGGATACTAGTGTTAGGTGTCTCCGTTTACCCACCAAAATGAATTGTGGACTATGCATGCAAATGCAATGCAATCGTGGCCCTGCCAGATGTCGACACTTGCCTTGGATGGAACGGTTGTTGATCAGTTGCTGTCACAAGAGTAGTGACCAAAGTGTTGCGGGAGCATATCCTGGTCCATGTTCTCCTCAATTAACTACTTTCTTCTTCTTTCTCGGTGGCGTTTCCTGTTATAGGACTACTAGTACAGTCTTGTTGGTGACCGGCCATCTGGATTCTGGAAGCACCATGAATAAGCTCATATAATGCGTCAGGCCCGCAGCATATGGTTATGCCCCATGTTTGCCGGAAAATAATAAGATTAGCACTATTCCCACCGATTCCAATTTTGCCGGCTTTCCTTCCAACTGGACTGAAACACCTGTCGACAAAATAGCAAAATTTTGACAGTTTGTATGCATGTGTACATATTCTGACATGTGCTGCCTTCAGGGTTCAAGGAGCTGCAGTGTCTGCATCGTTGCTTCGCTAGCTCGCAGGAGAAATTAAAGAATGTTGCGCGAGAGATGGCAGTGGCAGGGATGCATTTTCATTCTCGTCCTGCTTCTTCTCTCCAACACATCAGCGTCAGGTATGTACTATATTAAGCCTGTGCTCCGGCCGGTTTCAGTGCCCGTACTGTCGCACGGGTTCCATTCTCGCTTGCTTTCTGTCCTCCGAGCTAGATTCGTTACTTAACTCACATACATTCATTCCCGTACCTAGAGAGAGCATCGCAGAAAGAAAGAAAGTGTGCAGCAGCACAAAGGGACTTTAAATTAAGCTGCGATGCGATGCGATGCCTGTGCGTTTTCTTTCAAGACTCTTGTCTTGTTGAGTTGAGCAACACAAGCAAAAGCAAAAGCAGACGTGACACAACACGCGTCCAAGCTCAGGACTCGTGTTTAATAAGAAACTGAATGATGCGCCTGTCCTACCTACCTAACTATCTTATATTCTCGATCAGTGTTTCTCTTTGACACATGTAAAAGCCTTACCTTCAGGCTTCAGTTATCCTGATATTTTTTTACTCAAGCACTCAACAGACTGAACCCCAGGCCATGCGTGGCTGTAAGAGCATCTCTTGTCGAACCCTCGAAACCGCTTAGCTCTTTCAAAAAATTGTTTTGAAGAGTTAAACCGGACCTAGCCGAACCCTTATCCGGTTTATAACTCTTTTAAAAAATTAAGCGGTGCATCGGCTGGCACTTATATTTCAGTGGCTGCAACCGAGTCGTCAGGGGTCACCACCGCTGAATCAACATGGGGGGCCATCGTCGGATCGGCGTTGTGACTGGGAGAGGGCCACGCAGCCGCCCCGTGTTGGCGGAGCAGGCGGCTCACGCCTATGACATGACGGCGGTCCGCCTCCTTGTAGCCGAGGAAGATAAATTTACCCCTCGGCAGCAGCCCCGTCCAAAAATTCATCGCCGTCTATCCCCAAGTGATCTACGTACCACTGCGAGTTGCCGGAGAATCAAGGGCCTTCGAGAAGATCGACGAGGCCTACATAGCCGACCTCCGAGCGAATCATGCCGAGTTTGTCGCCGACGAGCTTCGGATCCACGATTTTCCGTCCAGTGACTCCAAATCCTGCTCCGGTAGTGGACAGGGAGAAAATCCTGTCCGAAGAAGATTAAGTTATTTAGTTTAGTGTGCTAGTGGTAGTTTTATTTTGTTCGAAACGAGTAGTTTAAGTTCATGCATGTTATGCAATGTATTGAAATAAATATATGTGGAAAAAGTTTCAAGGAGCTAAATTAAAAAAATTGGCCAGGAACTGTTCTTTTAAGTCCTCCAATATAAGAAGTTACCACTTAAAACCATTTGAGGGGCTAAAAATTTAAAGGGCAATGCTAGACCTACGTAAGGTCTGTTGTGTGTTTTACATAAACAATATTGCGGAGAAAGATTATTGGGTCGGTTAGAGGGAAGGGGCCCACCCCGTTAAAATCAGGGGGCCGAGAGGTTTATAGTATGGAAAATTACGTAGGCCTTAATAGGTGTAAGATTATTGAAATTTAAATTATTAGGGATCGACTAGAGAAGCTCAGATCCAATGATGAAGATGTGGTCAAACAAGAAAAAAATCTAAGCAGACCAGGCAATTACTGACAACTGAAACTCAACTTTACCTTCATGCATGATGGACAGGCACTTCTCTGGAGGAGAAGGACAACACGATCCTCCCGTCAAATTCTCCATCAGACTTCGCGAGAATCCTGCAATCTAAGCAGACCAGGCAAGCGCGGGTGTGCAGCGGAGAAGACCACCGGCTGCTGCGCTCCCTCGCCAACACCGGAGCGGAGGTCATGGTCACCATCCCCAACTCACATCTGCAGCACATGGCCGAGTTCCAGGAGGAGGCCCGGCTCTGGGTCGCCGCCAACGTGGCGCCGTTCCTCCCGGCGACCATGATCACGCACATCCTGGCGGGAGGCGACGCCCTGTCGTCCGTTTCCCCCGGGGACGCCGCCTACTCGCTGGTCCCCGCCATGCTGAACCTCCACGCCGCCCTCGTCGCCGCCGGACTTGACGGCCGCGTCAGGGTGTCTACCACGCTCTCCGCGGTGCCACTCGCCCCGTCTTGGTCCGCCGGCATCGCCGGGCGTGTCCTGCGGTTCCTGGGGGAGACCGGCTCGCCATTGTTCCTCCTCAAAGCTCACGCGTCTGAGGCCACCGCAGAAGCCAAAGTCGGCAACTCATACGCCGCGATGCGGGCGCTGGGCTTCTCCAGCATCCCGCTGATCACGGCGGAGTCGGCGGAGCTCGGTCTCACTGGGGCGCTGGTGTACCACAGCTACTTGTATGGCCGTCGTCCTGGCGGTGGCGGGAGGCGGTCGCTGGCGACAGGGACGTTCTGCGTGGCGCTCCAGAACGCAGACCCGACGGCCCTGCAGGCAGGCCTGAGCTGGGCGTGCGGGCAGGGCCAGGCCGACTGCTCCGCAGTGCAGCCCGGAGGGGCTTGCTACAAGCAGAACAACGTGGCGGCGCTGGCCTCCTACGCCTACAATGACTACTACCAGAAGAGCGCCAGCACCGGCGCCACCTGCTCCTTCAACGGCACCGCCACCACTACTGCCACTGATCCCAGTAAGCACCAACAAGAACCATTTCGATGCATAACCTTCTGTCCTGTACCACCATGGATGGCTGGCTGTTCTTGTTCTCTGATTCTTTCATGTTAATTGCTCATTGCAGGTTCAGGATCGTGCGTCTTCGCAGGAAGGTGAGCACAGTTTCCCGTGATACCTGAAATAGTCAGCGCTCCCGCTCCTGCTCCCAGATTATTTCACAAATCTGACACGGTACCAATTTCATGCTTGCAGCACGATGGCAGGAGGCTCCACCTCTAACTCGAGCGTGCCAAGTGCCAGCCCTCCGACGAGCCTGGGCGCCCCTCCGTCAGACAATCTCACTCCTCCAGTCAGCTCAAGCCCTCCGTCCGACTTTGGCCCCCCGGCAGCCGACACGGCCCCTCCGACGAGCCTGGGCGCCCCTCCGTCAGATGATCTCACTCCTCCAGTCGGCTCAAGCCCTCCGTCCGACTTTGGCCCCCCGGCAGCCGACACGGCCCCTCCGACGAGCTTTGACGCTCCTGCAGGTGGCTTCGGACCACCGTCTGGCTTCGGTCCCCCGTCTGTGTTCGGCAGCCCGCCATCGACGTTTGGCCCGCCTGGGAGCTTAAACGGGAGCGGGAGCTTCGGGCCGAGCAGCACCCTCGAGCCTTACGGCGTCGGGTGCCGCCATGTCACCTCCTTGGCTGTCTCCACCCTTCTCTCCGCCATTGTTCTCGCCCTTCTTTGCGCGTCACCCGATCTAATGTAAATTTTCCGAGTGTGAATTTGGATTAGCTATACAGAGCTAACACTGTCGTTAGCTATTACTATTACATCGTATGTTCTTGGTCTTGTAGATGTCAGATTCAATGTTTAGGAATCGTATCGTATGTATATATATATATATGATTTGCAGAGTATTTGGCATTGCACTTGAGAATAACCTGGGTACATACCTGGGTAGTTAGCCTGACATGTTTTGGATTGGGAATAGTTTCAGTTCGCTTGTGAAAAAAAAGGAGCTTCGGCGCGATGACTTTAGACATGCAACTTCTGAACCGACTGGCCATTTCTCTTCCCCGGATGAAGTCAACTTTCAGAGTTCAAACCGTGTCTCCAGCGTCCTCTGGATGGTCGGCAGCAACCGCATTGTTGAAACAAAAGTGTTATAAGGAGCTGAAAAGCAACAAGCTAATGATTACCAAACTTACTAGTTTACATCAGGATGATTGCTCCAAGCAAGTTTCCGATAGGCTGGAACAGGACATGTTCTTAGAACCAACACAGAAAGAAAAATTTACAGGTGTGTTCAGAGTATTGCTTACCAACCTCATATTTCCATTAATACGAAATACTAAACAAGTGAAAGAATCAGCTAATGAGTTGATGAAAGTGACATTAAAAGCATTCATTTGAGTCCAAACAAAATGGCCCTAGAGGTCATGGCATACTTTGCACCAAAGACTAATGATCCAATTACATGCTAATGGTGCAGGATATTACTTTACCATTTACCAATGATACATACCTTAATACAGTACTGATTTTATTTTACATGTAGATTGTATATGAATAAAAGAGAATCAAAATTGGAAGTTGGAAATCAACTATGAAAGGTTTGCATATCCGATAATCATAAGAATTTATATGGGGAACAGCAGGATAACTAAGAAAAATGGTTTAAACTGGAGTGAAACAAAACTTGATCTGGTTCTATGCCAAACAAATACTCCCTAGTGTAGTGTCAAAAACGCTCTTATATTATGGGACGGAGGCAGAAGTTCACTTTTTATGTGAGCAAGTGCTAGATTTTTATTCAACGGATGGAGGTTGTTGGACTACAGGCAGGAAAAAAAAATACTAAACTAGACATTAACCGGCGAACCTCCTTCCAAGCAGAAACTTCTTCCTAGATGTATGCAATCAAGGAGAAGAGTGCTCCCCTTGCCTGAAGACTCAGTCTATTTCTTTCTAGCCATATCAACAACAAAAATCAGAAGCTTTGAGGTTTTCTGTCCTTCAGGAAATTGTGTTCAGGAAATCTGGCCCTAAAAAAACAACCTTCATGATGACACCAGGGTTTTCAAAGATAAACAGGAGAGACTGTCCAGTCCAGGCTCCGGCTGCGAACTACTGCTAACAGAGCTGATTCTGTGTGGCACAGAGCGCAGGAGATGGACGTGGTAAACATATACTCACTACATCTGTTTCCAACTGAATACTTCAGTTTTGAAAGGCGAAAAATTGATAAGATAGCCATAGGACTGTTGCACTTGTCAAGTCTTTTCCCCAATATCTTTACTCTTTCTGGCATTTGCTAATTCTTGTAACCTGTGGAAAAGTCAAAGGGTATTTAGAAGAGCACAATGTCACTTGTGATTCAATAACAGAGCAATATGTAAAAAACAACATTATCTTCATAAGCATATCAGTATTCAGAGAATCTTAAGAAACCATATACCTTTTATGTTTTTATAACCTTGTATGAAGTATTTTTATCGCCAATATACTCTCATCTGCACACTACATCCACCCTGCATCAAATGCACATCTATTATTAATAATGAACTCAATCTTAATATTTCATCTATCTTTGGTCCTGTCCTGCTGATCAATAACATTAACAGAACTTCAAGGTAAGAACCAACCTGAATTGCGTAGGAAAACCTGATAGGTAGCCTTGGCTAGCAATACAACATAGTGGTAGCTTAGTAGATAAAACAGCACAATCATACTTTCAAAACAACAACCAGGTTAATCAAGTATCCAGAGACCCAGTCAAGTGAATCTTAAACTATTCAGATGTTTCTCTGTCATAAGCTCTGCAGGGTCATTCAGCGCACTGGTGACAGCTTTCTCCCATGCACTTGACTCTAGAGCATTCACCTTCGCCAGACGGCATAACACTGACTCTAGCAACACTGCATCCCCTTCCCTCTCAATTCCCTGAATGAACTTGGTCGCACCATCCTTGCTTGGCGCAAAACCCTTAAAGGTCATCTCATCCAAAACCTGATCTGCTTCATGAAATGCCCCAGCAACACACATGCCATCAAAGAGCATTCTGTACGTCACCACATCAGGAGGGCAGCCCCTTCTAGGCATATCCTCAACCAACTCATTTGCATCCTGCCACCGCCCCAACTTGCACAGCCCAGCAACCAACGTGTTATAACTCACTACATCTGCCTTGCACCCGCTGTTCTGCATGTCATCAAGCACCGCGAACGCAGCATCCAAATCGCCCTCATCCTCACAGAAACCTGCGATCATCGCATTGTGCACCACTCTATCAGCCTGAATGTCCCTACCCTTCATCTCTTCCAGCAAACCAACCACTTCCCCTTTCCGGCCACCCCTAAACAACGCCCTAACCAAGGTCGCATAAATGGCGGGATCCAGCACAAGATCTGCATCGGCCACCATCTCCTCTTTGAACCTAACCGCCTTGTCCACATCCCCCCTCTGACAGAGCCCCTTCATCAAGCTGGCATACACATGAGCATTTGGCCTCACATTGTACTGCTCAGCCATGGCGTCCTTCACGTCGAACGCCTCCTCGAGACGACCACAATCGCAAAACGCGGCAACCAGGGTGCCAAACGTGACGACGGTCGGGGCGATCCGCCGCTGCAGCATTTCGTCGAACAGGAGGCGGACGTGGTCGACCGAGCCACCAGACGCCGCAGCCGCGCGGATGAGGATGTTGTAGGTGCACGCGTCCGGAGGGATGGCGGCGTCCCGGCAAACAGAGAGGAGCTCGGCGAGGGGCGTGCTGCAGACGGCGAGGGCGTGCAGGAGGGCGTTGAGGGCGCGGGTGGTGCGGGGGCCGGGGAAGGCGGGGTGGGCGAAGGCGCGGCGGGCGGCGGCGGGGAGGCGGGCGCGGCCGTAGGCGGATATGACGCAGCGGAGCAGGGGCTCGCGAGGCTGGAGGGAGGAGGCGCGGAGGCTGGAGAGGAGGGACTCCATGGCCGGGAAGTGCCGCGCGGCGGCGAGCTTGGAGATGATGAGGTCGTAGCAGCGAAGGGAGTAGCGGAACGGGGTGGAAACAGGGGTGGTCGGCGGGCTGAGGAAGAGGCGGAGCGCGGCGGAGGGGTCGCGCTCGCGTCGGAGCGCTGCGGCGAGGTGGTACGACGAGAACTTGGTGCCGGCCATGGCGGCGTTCGGCATCTCTCCCGAACTGCTAAGGAATTTTGGAGGGGCTATTGGCCTGGTCAGAAATACAGTACAAGTTTTTCAACATGACGGCCGGATATTCAATTTGGCTCTAGGAGCATGCTCCTGCGTGTCGAAAATGGATTTTACAAAATTTGAATAAAAAATAGATATGCTCATTGTCACACCCAAATGTTACCTCGAAAATTTAAGCACATTTACCACACTAATATGAACATCTAAATTTTTTCAAAAGTTTATTTTTCTTACTATTTATTTTGATTTTACTGTTCATCAGGGAGCATATGACAAAAATCCATGTCTGGCGGCGTGTACCTATGCTATTCCGTCTTTTCTTTTGAAAAATGTTTGTGCCTGACCGACTGGCCGAAACTTCAGCCGGTGGCATGTGAGCCACGGGATCGAGGCTCACCATACATCTCGCAACATCCCCCGCCCACCTTATCTTCTTTCTCTCTCTATCTTCTTGTCCCGATTTCGGGACGTCTGGAATGCGAATCCACTGCGGATTTTCTGTCTTGTAATTCAAAACAGATACATCATGTAGTGTAAATGCTCGTTTCTTATTTGAAAACTATTCATCGTATATTTTAAAATCTTAATTGCATAATTAAAAATGTGATGTATTTTAAAAATATTTGTCTCTGATTAGAAATTTGTTAATTGAATAATTTCGAAATGCTTATATTTTATTTAAAAATTGTTATTCGTGCACTAAAAAGTGTCCAACCTATATTAAAAAAAATCTTCTCGATATATATATATATATTTCTTGTATTTCAATATTATTCAGGAAACTATTTAAAAATATTCACAGTGTAATTAAACATGTTTATGGCATATTTTAAAATAAACCCTTCTTTGTTAGAAAAGTTTTCATCGTGTATTTAAAAATGTTAATTATTTATTAAAACAAATATTCATCACATATTATAAAATGCTCCTATATTTCAAAAAATATATGCAGTGAGTGTTAAAAATGGTCATCACATATTAAAAATATGTTCACCGTTTATTTTCAATAAAAAAATCCATCATATAAATTCTACTTTTATGGTGTATTAAATTTTTTTGTTTGCTATTGATATCAGGTCCATAAAAGTGAAAGTAGGACCGGGGGAGAAAAGAGTAATAAGCATCAAAATAAGATCACATATTTAAAACATGTTTGTATAATTTAAAATTCACACATTTTAAAATTGTTATCAGAAAATAAAATAAAGACAGGAAAAGGAAGACTGGAAACAGGAAAAAAGGAAAAAAGGAAAAGAAGGAAAAGACAGGAAAATACAAGGCATAAGTAAGCACAAAAATAACTTAATGAATAAAAAAATATGAAAACTAATTGAACGACGAAGTAAAGAAAAAAACCACACGCATCTACGCGCAACGGACGGAACAGTAGGTGAAAAAGCCAGCCTCTCTACCAAAACCAGAATATAAGAACCGGACAAACAGGAAAGGGAGCGCCTGTACAACGCGGTACGCGCCGGCAGCCACGGGAGCGCGTACCCTCGCTGCTCCCCCGCGCGCCCTCATGGGCCGGCCCATGTGCGGGGCGGGGAGCCCCTTGTTTTTTTTGCCTTTATTTTTCTGTTTTCAGCTTTATTTCATTTTGAAAAATAATTTAGGATTTCAGAAAACGTTGCAAAATGTGCAATTTTTCGTGAATTCAAAAATTGTGCACGATTTCAAATTTATTCAGGAAATGATAAAATCTCACGGATTCAAAAATTGTTCGCAATTTCAAAATTGGTATTCTTCTACTCAAAAAATGTTTACAATTTCGAAAATAAATTCATGAATTTCTCGAAAAGTTATCACAATATTGAAAAAATGTTCATGAATGTTGAAACATGTTCACAAATTTCAAAAAAGGTTCGCTATTTCAAGAACTATTAAGAAACCCAAAAATGTTCGTCAAAAACAAAAATGTTTCTGAATTTAAAAAATTGTTCGGAAATTTCAAAAAATGTTCACCATTTCCAGAAAAATGTACTCAATTTCAAGGAATGTTCGAGAATTATAAAAAATCATGATTTCATAAAATGTTCACGAATTTAAAAAATGTTCACGATTTCGGAAAAAAATGTTCAGGATTTCAAAAAATGTTCACAATTTAAGAAAATTTGTTCGCAAAATTGATACATGGCCGAACTTTTTTTTGAGCTGGCCATGGTGGAAATGGATCCGGGCGACCTGGGAGCGGCGCTTTTGTCTCTCGACTCTTGTACCAGCCGCCCCCAATTCCTCCTTCAGGCAACCTTCAGGCGCAGCATCCCGCAATTGGCTTTGGAGCACTTCAGTCTGGTCAGATGGACAATGGTGCTTTGGGTAGTCATCAGTATTCCGGAACTAGTAATAATCCACCTAATCAGCAAGGGCAGGGGTATGCTCATTCCGGCTTCAATTCAAATCAACCTGGTGCTACCAGTGGGCCTGCAAGTGCTGGGAACGACGGATCACAGATGACATGCTACAAATGCGAGAATCTCGGTCATGCCGGTAAGGACTGTCAGACCGTGTTATTTTGCACAAATTGCGCCAAGTATTCACATCCCTCGCGCGAATGCTCCTTCCTGTCGCGACCTAAACCTGTTGCTAGCTTGGTTGGTAGTGCCGCTGATGGTTTGCAGATGTTCTCAGCAAGGACCGGAAAGAAGCTTGGAGCCGGATAAAAACAAGGACGCTATAGCTGTTGTTACTGTGAAGAATGCGAACCTCACCACATCACAGCTCGCTAGCTCTTTGAGCATGATGTTCTAGTGGGAGGGATGGGAGTGGATGGCTAGACCTTACATCATAGACAGCTTTCTGGTCAAATTCCCTTACGTGGAAAAAATCGATGAAATGAAGGGTTTCGATTCCTTTCGTCTGATTGGAATGTCAGCTGATATCAAAATAGTAGATAGATGGACTAACTCTTCGGCCGCAGCTTTCAAACTGTATGTCTGCTGGGTTAGAATAACAGGGGTTCCCCAGACACTGGAGCACTACCGGGGTTTTTGTGAAGCCGGTTCTCTCATTGGTTCTGTTTTAGAATTGGACATGGAGCTCTATGGGCAATCTGCAGTTCTCAGGGCTAAGATTGGAGTTATGGATCCTAGGAATATACCCTCTAGTGCTCCTCTGAATGGAAGTTGTTTTATCTTCAACATACACTTGGCTGGAAGACATAGTGGAGGAGGGTGGACCTATGGAGGGTGGTATCCTGGTTAGCCATCCTAGTCATCCTGAATCATCTCATAACATTACAGAGAAAAGACCGAGAGAGCAAAGTAACAGAGAGGGTGTGGGATGTACCCAATCTTGATACTGCGGCCGGAAAGTCGGATAAAGGGAACACTACAGTTTCAACAGAGGATGTGATTCTGAGTCAATATGAACTTGATAAGAACCTGGTTGCTGAAAATGAGGTGAGGCAAAAATTACTTGACAAAAAGCGGGATGCTGAAAGAGCTCTCTCTGGTATGAAGCAAGTTAATGCTGAGTTTGCTAATAGCGCTGCTATGTTGGAGGATTTCATAGAAGTGTTTGACATCCAAAAGGAAGAAGAGTTTGATTGCACTCAAGACCCAGTTGACTTTGTTAGGAGGCTTGGGAGTAGCTCTCGAAAAGTTAAAGAAATCAATGCCAATGTTGAGAGTGAGATGATTGCGGAGGAAAATGAGAATCTGCTATTGGCGCAAGATAAGGAAAATAGGAGCCCTTGTCTCATTAGCTCCACTCTGGCCACGACCGCTCCCAGGAGAGAAGTGAGTCAGAAGCATGTTCCCTTCTCTGACAAAGCTGATGTGTGTTTGCAATACCCCTTGCAAGACCTTTGTGATGCCGATGCAGTCAAAAAGCAGAAAATGAGGGAGGCTGAAGCGAGAGTTCAGAGAGCAAAAGACAAGGCGACGCTTGATGAAGCTGCTATAGGAGAAGGAGTGATAGGCATAAGAATAGAGATGAGGGGCAGACTATGGACAAGGCTACTGAGATGGCAAAGAAGAAGAATCTAGAAATGGCACCAGGTAATACTCCTACTGTTTTAAATACAATGCCTAGTTTCATTTCACATATCACATGATGTATTGGTGTTAGTCTAGGAAAAACTCCTGAGGAAACAGATGGTACTATTTCTATGATCAAGAGTTTAGAGAAAACTAGAAGTGACTTATTCTTTGCTAATAAGAGAAAGGAAAAAGATAGAAATGTGGATTTAGAATCAAAATTGGAGAGTTTTGATCCAAATGATATTAGAAATTCGTTATCCGTATGGCGGGGCTTAGTGTGGGCCAAAGGGGGCAATGCCCCCCCTACCAAATTTATTTCTTTGTATAAACACATAGTAATATTTAGGGATAATTTTTGGGAAAACTTTAATAGAATGCACTAGATTAGGCCCCTAAACTCTATTTAAGACTCATTTAGCCCCCTCTCAAATCACGTTGAAGCTCCACCACTGATTATCCGACTTAGATTCTGATGCTGAGGAGGGTGAGGAGCTTAGAGATGAATTAGTGTTGTTATCTTTGCTGTATAAATCAAGAAGTAGACAGACTTGCACTGGGGGATTCAGTGTTAAGCCTAGGGTTAGATGCAATGCAACAAATGTTACATAATTGCTCGGTTCTTATGGCGGGCCTATTTTGGAATGCTAGAGGGCTGGGTGAACCTGAAAAGAGAAGATACTATATTAGTCATATCTGGTGTATAGTGTATCTGATACATTAACTTTTGTGTGTGCAGGTGGTTGATACACCAATGCTGCGTACCAAATTCCTCTACCTTAAGCACCTGACCATTATTTTGAGATTAGGACCAAACGGTGCCGGGACATATGACTATTTTTCTCTGGTTTCTTTCCTGAATGCTTCCCCTTCCTTGGAGACTTTGACATTAGATGTAAGGCAGTGGTGCTGTTCTTTGATTTCATCCTGCGAAGCCATCAGATCAGTCTTTGTCTAGTTAACTGAATCATATTATCCTTTTTTATTGTCAGGTGAGCC